ACCACTTGATACCGTTTTTCTGCAGTTTGAAAAATAGGAATTTGCAAATTAACTAGATAATTATTAACGGTATAATTAAAATAGCAAATCAGGATACATACACAACTATCAGATACAGATATCAGCCAAGCAGTAAAATAAAATTTAAATTAAAACATACTATACACGACGGAACCTACACTAGAATAAGAGTATGCACTGTAGTGCTCTTAAAGAGCGTTGGGTGGGGTGTGAATCGTCAAGATTTAGTCGGCGGATGGCCCACATCGCAAAGGAGAATTACGATTTAATGTGATGGATAAGTACGTCTCGACATGGCTGCGTCGGGATCGGGTCACAGCTGTGATGATTTGGGTACGTCTTTGTAACGAATCCAGAAAGAAAGACAAAACAGACACTACCTGTTCAAATGACCGGCCAAGAATAACTGAGGCAAGTATAGATATGGACTCTGCTTGTCTTGTGTCAGACGGGAGGCTCAAACGCTGATACATGACGGGGAACGTTGAAAACACTGAATGATACTGCGTGCCTCCATGACAGAGGTTAAGTAGTAATCAAAACTGACTTACTGAATCTGCTGTGCTTTAGAGAATACGGAAAAAAAGATGGTACATTTTGGAACTGCAAATATCGTGATACCTCGAAAGCACAGGAAAATTTGATACCGTCTACCACTGGAGAAGAATTTTACCAGAAAGCACTAGCCCATTCCGCTGACCCCACATTCATATTCGATCGTTTCAGCAGGAAGAAGCGCGACCGCAACGAAAGCAACAATTTCGATATAATCGCAAAAATCGACACCATGTTTTTTCATTCGACAAAGAGCCAGACGAATCATATAAATACTCTGCTGTTAGCCGACCGCTAATGGTGTTCACAATGTGTACAATAAGACCAGGGATCAACGTAAAAGATAAACAAGATGATGAACGGTAAAAATATTCGTCCTCGTTCCCGACATCGATCAGACATTAAGCACTTTGTAACGTGAAATCACACTTATGCAAATGCCATCTGGCATATTAACTCACTCGCAAGACTATATGGAACTTTCACCATCAAGTTTATCTGTGCAGAATGATGTATATAACAACAGTGTAAAGCCGCAATCTGCCTGAAGTCATTTTTCATTATCACTGTTCAAAAGCATACTAACATTAAGAACTTAACAAAGCCGTTTAAGAAAACAACTTGATTGAAGACTAAACAGAAAAAGCTTCTTGAACACCAACCAATGTACAGCAGGCCCGTTTTGTGGAGCAGACAAATGAGTTCCGTTCGATTCGCGCCATCAAAGGCTTTGACGATCAGGATCATTTATCAATATAAAAGCGTAACAATGATGTCAGATTGGAAAGTGGGCTAACATCAATCTAGATTGACCGAAGCGATGCCGCACTGGTGAAACATAACATCTTACATTTATATTAATAATACATCAACTATTCAAGCTACAATATTATCCAAAACGAAACGAAAAAATAAGAGCAGTTAATAACGACGTCGTCTGGGCGAGTAGTCACCGAGGTATCGCTCTCGGGATCGGGACCGAGTGCGAGAGCGTTCCCGGCGTTTGCTGCGTCGTTCCCTGGACCTCGACCGATCGCGTGACCGGTCCTTGGAGCGTCTACCATACGACTTGGCCTCGATGCCATGCAATGTATCCTGCAGAGAGCTTATCAGGATCTTGCAGCGGTCATCGTAGGAAACCCTTGACTGGCGAATTAAGGAAATGGCTGTTACCAGTGTCTCGATGGCCGAAGCGAAATCTCCAGCTGCGGCATCCGACACAGCGCGCGAAATGGCACTGCTGGACACCGTTCTGTTACGGTTCATGACCTCCTCGAATTCAGCGTCAGACAGTGGATGCTCGCCGCCCATTGCCGGTCCCCCATGAGTCGCCGCTGAAACTAATCCAGGATAAAAGTTTGGATTTACGTGACTACCCGGTGGTGGAACACCTGGAGGAGGCAAGCCAGGGGCAGGAGGTGGTCCGACAGGTCTGATGGTCGGAGGAAAGCCAGGAGGAGGGCGATTCGGAGTTGGGGGTGGTACAACGACGGGAGCGGCACCAGGGGGTACGCTGACAGGCACTGAGTTCCGGTGGCGTCCAGAAAGCATCATTGGGGCCGGAAGGGACATTGCGCCTGACATGGACTGACAACCAGGTCTGTAGGCAACCGAACGGCCATTTCTTAACGGTTGGCCACTGCTAATAATACCTCCGACGGGTGTCGACGATGACCCGCCGGCTCCGATTCTAATCGTGCCCAAAAATACGGGTGTCCCCTGCTTCTCGGTGTAACCAGCTTTGGGGGGCGGCTTCTCGCCAGGTTTCCGCGTAGCTGCTTCAAACTGGTTCAGCGACTGTTTGTTGTACGGCATGACGACAGGCGTTTGACCGTGTAACTGACGCGTGGATAGCCGCTCCATGCACTGCCTGACAGAGGAGT